CTGGCGTGCACAGCTGGCAAGTGGCAATGACTGGCCCCTAAGCAGCTTGACCGGTGGCTCAATAAGTGCTTTGCTTTCTCCTGCTGATTACTGCTTTCTATAGCGCTGGCTTCCTGTCTTGGCATAAAATCTAATCGAATAATAGAAGTGACACATTTAAACGACCTCATGCGCACTGTCAACTTTCTGCTTTTAATTATGGAAAGGGTCCTAGCCTGGAGGAGAGTTTCTGAGTTTGGTAAGCACAGGGACTACTTTACTGCCTTGGTGGAGGTGGGAGAAAGGAAATTGGAGGCAGGCTAAAATGGCAGGTCTTTACGTGGAGGCAACAGAGAGCAAGAGATGAGCCCAATGGGAAGACAGGAAGGTGGAGCCACAGGCATCCATGCCTGGAGATATCATCAGATGTAGGTATGTAAGCAGAGCAGCATTTGAAGAGGGTTTCCATGGGGACTATCTGTGGTTAACTTCTGGAAAAGGAGTACCAGGGAAAGATGCACAAATTGGGGACACATGCATATAACCCCCACAAAAGATAAAGCTGCTATGCCTCAAATAGCCCCTTTAAGTTGTAGGATCCCAAACTGCATCCCATGTGCAAGAAATACTTAATGTCATTTATTTATTTGTTTATTTATTTATTTTTGTTTTTTGAGACTGGATTTCTCTGTGTAGCAGCCCTGGCTGTCCCAGAACTCGCTCTGTAGACCAGGCTGGCCTCTAACCTGCAGAGATTTGCCTGCCTCTGCCTCCCAAGTGCTGGGATTAAAGGCGTGCACTCCCACCACCCAGCAAAATAATTTTAAATGTGTGCTACAAAGTTCCTTCAAATGAAACATGTATTTGTGTATAGTCAAGATGCTGGGAAATTGATTTTTATGGTATTTTCCCAGGATCAAAGTTAATTCCACAGATGTAAAGCTTTCAGGGTCCTCTCCACTCCCCTGAGTTTTAAATATAGGCAGACACATGGTTCGTGATAGTTCTCTCAGCCTACAGCGCTCATTAATTCAATAGTATGCACATCACTTGAATGAGATCGCCGAGGCATTCCAAAGAAAATGGAGTTGTTCGCTGCTCTTCAACAATTTATAATGTAGGAGACTAGAGTTATAGTGTGAAGGTAGTTTTTAATCCTTCAAAATACATGGAAGTTAGTAACCCTGTAATTATTTTTAGTTATTAGTATTTTTAATTTATTCCTTTTTGAGCATTTGTGAATGAAAGTAATTAAGTCTCCCCAAATTGACCGCCCCTGGCTTATTGGAACAGTGAAGTGCTAAGTCTTTGCTTATTGTCACACCACGATGTGCTGTTTGTCACTCTTTCCATTCGCAGGTGAATTTCCTTCTTTACATAAAAGCTATGTGAGTAGCCCTCTCTCAAAGTGGAGTCCAAAGTTCATTTTCTGTCTATTAAAAGGGGTTCTTTCCCGTTAACCTTTTGTTCCTCATATGATTAAAGAAAGCTTCCCTATATTAAATATATGCTATTCTGTGTTTTTAAAAAATTTGTTTATTCAGCCAGTGGCAGTGGCACACACCTTTAACCCCAGCACTTGGGAGGCAGAGGCAGGAGGATCGCTGAGTCTGAGGCCAGCCTGGTCTACAGACTATAGCACAGGGCTATACAGAGAGACCCTGTCTTGGAAAAAACAACAAAAATATTTATTCTATGTGTATGGATATTTTTGCTTGCATGTTTGGGTACCACATGCATGTGGTACCCAGGATGAACAGAAGAGGGTTTGGAGCCTCTGAAATTGAAGTTATCAGATAGTTGCAAGCCTCCATGTGAGTGCTGGCAATTGAACCTGGGGTTTCTGGAAGGGCAGTCAGTGCTCTTAATTGCTAAGCCACCTACCCAGCACCTTTACTGTCTTTTGTTGGTTGCATCTTATTTCTTCAGTTGATTTTTTGTCTTTTGCCCTTACAAGTGTGTAGAGTCCTCAGTATATCTCCTTAGCCATTTGCTCTAGCATTTCCTTTCTATTTACCCCATTGAGGATTCAGTTCCTAGAGTAACATTTTATTTGGCTGATGAGGAGTCCCTCTAAATTTCTTCTCTATTCCTATCTGTTTTGTTACTTTCTAGCAAACGCTCATGGCACTGGAATGGTTACATTTCAGTACTGTTCACTGAGGCATGAGTGGTGCTCCTATGTTGAATTTTTCAGGAGAATTTTTTTGAGCTTGTCTATGAGTTATAGGAAATTTATTTACAAAAAAATTATTTTTCCATTTTGTATGCCTTTCCTTTGTTAGGAAATCCTGAATTCTTATCATTTATGAGTGTTTTTATTTTTTAAGCCTATTGACAACTCTTAGCCCCTATGATAAATTTTTCTGATTTACTGATTAACCAGGCAGTAATAATTGAGACAGAAAGTAAATTTGCTATATACACACTTATATTTGGGTATAATATTTACTTAACATCTTCATGACATTTGGCATCTTTCCTAAAATGCTTTCATTTGAGGTTTTCTTCCATTTCAGAGTGCTAGCTAGCCTGGTGAGATGAGGAGGGCTTCCAATAGTGGGACTTGACCAAGCTGTACAGTGTAGCGCTCATAAGTACCTGTGAGGATGATCACATTTATGCCCACACAAGCAGGTGTCACCATAGCTTAGAATCATTCTTGAACTTCTACAGATACCTTGAACAACATTTTGTTATAAGATCATAGCGACATAGCACTTTCTAAAGGAAACGATTCAATGCTGTCATCTGATCCCTCCTCTACCCAGTGCTAGTGGAAATGGGTGCAGTACTAACAGCCAGCCTCCCTGCGGAAATACCTAGCCGTTCTGCAAAACTAGAAGTGATCTCCAAAGCAAATTTAGAAAAAAGCATGACTGTGTTTCTAACTATTAATTTTATGAACTTGGGTAAGTACAGAAAGTTTAAGCACACATGACATAGGCATTGCTTTACCCAGAAAGTAAATCAACTCTTTTTTTTTAATTTTAAATTTATTTATTTATTAAGGATTTCTGCCTCCTCCCCGCAACCGCTTCCCATTTCCCTCCCCCTCCCCCGATCAAGTCCCCCTCCCTCAACTGCTCGAAGAGCAATCAGGGTTCCCTGCCCTGTGGGAAGCCCAAGGACCGCCCACCTCTATCCATGTCTAGTAAGGTGAGCATCCAAACTGCCTAGGCTCCCACAAAGCCAGTACGTGCAGTAGGATCAAAAACCCACTGCGATTGTTCTTGAGTTCTCAGTATTCCTCATTGTCCGCTATGTTCAGCTAGTCCGGATTTATCCCAGGGTTTTTCAGACCTAGGCCAGCTGGCCTTGGTGAGTTCCCAATAGAACATCCCCATTGTCTCAGTGTGTGGGTGCACCCCTCGTGGTCCTGAGTTCCTTGCTCGTGCTCCGTCTCCTTCTGCTCCTGAGTAAATCAACTCTTGTTATATGATCAGGGACTTGGTATACGGGAAGATTTACTATATAGAGTTCCTTTTCCCCACATTTATTTGTGTGTTCCAGCCAACCTTGTTGACATTTAGATTAGCCACTCTTCCCAAAGGGGCTCTTTCCCTTCCTGGTCCAGTAGACTGCATCATTTTCCACTCCTAGAATAGTATAAGGTGTTATAATTTCGTGTAGAAAGAACACAGCTACAACTAGCCCTGCTTTCTTTCCTTTTTATTTCCTTCTAGTACTCTAAACTGTGGTGCTGGATTGGGTTCGCTGTCATGTCTGATCTGCTCTCTCTAGTACACTTGTTAGCTCTTCCCTTGGGTAAAGGAAAGTGAGGAGCTTGGAGTCAATATCTCGGATCAGTAGTGATGACACGAGAGATATAAGATAATGAATTTCATTCTGAAATTAAGAAAACTTCGACATGTGCATTAACGCCACGGTCAGCTACAATTACTGTGAAATAACCTGGTGTACTAAAAAGTCACCTTTCTGCTAGCTTAGGACTACCTAGTCTCCCTCCCTTTGTTAAGTTTAAAAAGTTACCTAAAATATCTGAGAGTGCTTTATTGAACTTTACTTTCCATAGGACCTTACTGGACATGGGCAGAAGTTACTATATATATATGCACACACACATTTTATCATCCTTATGTTGCTTTGTTACACTTACTTTCTAGCACTAGAGATGTATCTCTCTTAATCCATTTAGACGATGAGGTTTTGTGGGCAGGGACAATATTGTACCTCCAGCATGTAGTACAGTGCCTGGCACATAAATAGTATGTTAGATTGGGTCACTGGAAAAGCAGATGCCAATTAAATGGACAAGCATCTAAGGCAGTATTGATATTTATGTCTTTTCATATAGCACTTATATTCACCCAGCATGACATTTGTTTCTATTTTCCTGTGGCTGTTTGTTGTCCTCAAGACTATAAACACCATGAGGGCAAGTCTGTGGTTTGTGTGCTCTTCATTCATTGTGACTGGCATTTAATAGGAACCAAATAAGTATTTATGGACTCTTGATAGACTTTTGGTTACAGCTACAGCAAAACTTTAATATGGTTTCGATGTTTTGATTATTTTTTCTGAACAGCACGTTTAGGCTGGCCAGACATCTATTTCATTTGGAATCATAATTGGGATCTTAAAAAATTGTCTTTGATTGTGTTCATATTCATAAATAACAATCAGGAAAAAATAAATGAGAAGAATGAAGATTGATATTTTAAAAGACAAATTAAATGTTGGTGTTCAATAGTGTGTGTTTGGTGCTGCTATAAATTATTTTCTGTAGAATTTATGAGTCAGATCTCAGCAATTAACTGACAGCTATTCAAAAGGAATTAACTAGGAGGGAAATTGGATGAATTGAGACAAACAATATACTCGAGACCTACTGTATTTAAAGAGAAATGTGAAAATGTGTTTTGTCCTGTTTATTTGTGTGTGTGCACGCGCATACATACATGTGTGTAATGTTTGATATATATATATATATATATATATATATATATATATATATATATATACTGATTACTGAAACATGAATACCTTGTTTGTTTCAGGATCAGATTTGCAAGTATGTCTCCCCAAGGGCCCAACATGCTGCTCAAGAAAGATGGAAGAAAAATACCAACTTACAGCACGGCTGAACATGGAACAGCTGCTCCAGTCTGCGAGTATTGAGCTCAAGTTCTTAATTATTCAGAATGCTGCGATTTTCCAAGGTGAGTTTGGGGGGTCATTTTTGATATACTGCTCAATGGTATCATTATTTGGGTGCTTGGCTTTCAAATGCTAAGTATAACTTATAAATAACCATTCCAGTATGCATGCTTGATAGAAAAGCATCCCAGCGAGAGATCCTGGATAAGGAAACACGCGGTTTTTAAACAAATTTCATTTTAATCTTTGAAAAAGTGGATAGTATTAAAAATCATTGTCCAAGGACATTTTGTTTGCCTGTATGTAAAAGACATAAATCACTGCTGAAAAAGTCAGTGATAATTTTCTCAGTTAGAACGTAAGACTTGTTTGCAACCACCACCACCACCACCACCACCACCACCACCACCACCACCACCACCACCACCACCACCACCACCACCACCACCACCATCCACCTACCCACCCACCCGCCCTCCTCATTAATTCCAAGGCCAGCTTTCTTCAGGGGCGAGTCAGATACCATAGAACATATATGAACTCCTTCTGACCACTAGGACCATCTCCATTTGAGAGGGAGAATCTGGCTTGTTGGCCAACCATTTTCCAATTTGTGTGAGTGGTTACCTCTCTTCTCCTTGTGAATGTCGATTCTTAACCACGCTCCTCTCTGCACTGTGAAAGGATGGGCAGCAAATGATGTCATCTTTAGTCATTTGCAAGGAAATGACTGCAGCACAGGGTGGACTCCTTCGGACTGAGGACCAGCTGGAGGTGACGGCAGTGGTAGTGACAACAAGAAGCCTTTACAGTCTACCATGTGTCTTTAAGCCATTGGCCTCTTTCATTTCATTTAGTTCCCACAACGTATCTATGAGTGGTCTTTGCTACCTCCATTTTAGAGATGAAGACCCAAGACCAGGATGGTTAGTTAATTTGCCAAGGCCACACACCTAAAATAAATGGCGAAGGCAAGATTTGAACCCAGAGTGCCTGGTTTTAAAAAGTCCTTGATTTTTATCCTCTGATTTAGGCTACCTCTTGTGACTAGGAAAATTGCTTGTGGATATGGAGACTTTCTTCTATCCCTTCTTTAAAGGGCATGTGTGTATGTGGGGGGGGGTTGTGTGTGGGTAGACACTTGGTAGTGTGTGTGTGTGCACATGTGTGTGCGTGTGTGGAGGCCAGAGGGCAATGCTGTGCATCTTCTATCACTCTCCATTTTGAGTTTTTTGAATGAGGGCCTCTTGGTTAATGTGAACTTCGCCAATTTGGCTAGGCTGGCCAGCCCATGAGTTTTAGAGATTCCCCCTTGGCTAGTCTCCATCCCCAGTAATAGAGTTTCAGGCCCCCACTGCTACACCTGACTTTTTATGTGGGTGCTGGGGATCTGAACTCCTTATTTTACCAGCTAAGCTATGTCCTTAACCCCCGTCCAATCAATATAAATTAAGCATACTGAATCAGCAGCTACCTTCCTGTTAAGGTAGCCTCGGGGTCAGATATAATACTTCTGGCTACTTGGCATTCTAAAGCTTTCAGATTGATGGCACCTTTGTCAGAATTAACCTCTTTGAATTATAAGGCGGGCCAATTATACCTTAGTTTAGGCATCAAAATGAAGTCCTCAGTATTAGCTAAAATGTTGTTCACGACAGTTTCTTGTGTCTAAGCCTCAGGGGATATCAATGGTAGGTTCATTATATAAAGTACGATCCGAAAGCATGAAATGTTTGTTAACCTATTTATGCAGCAAGACTCTGGTGAAGCATTTGTTACCAACAATTTAGTGATAGAATGAATAATTCAGGCCAGGTTTAAAAATACATGCACCATTCATGTACCTTTTAGATTGGTTTTGGAGGTGATAGACTGGTTGCAAGTGGGGTGACAAGAGGATTGGGATGAAGTGGACAGGCGAAGCTTAGTCTTTGAGGCATGAAGGTACTTGGTTGCAATGGAACCATAGTGATTTATTTCACTCCTAGAATAACCAAGGCTCCATATGTCGCCTTTCGTCCTTTGCCTGCTGAGATAGGATGGCAGGCTGATGACACTGGAATTCCAGGCTGCGGAGCAGCTGCTACCGCTGTCCATGTGAGGGCCTTTGTTGTCGGAGTTCATGTACCTGTCCAGTCTTGCACTTTGCATATTGTGTTTTATGGAGCTGGAACAGCGTGAGACGGAGTATGAAAATAAGTTCTGGCCGTGTTTGATTGGATGCGAGCCCAGGTACGGCTGCTCTAGTATGGGAGCTGAATATTAGTCAGATGAGCAGGGAGTAGGAAGCGGAGGCAATACCTGCTGCTGATGTTCTCTCCGTCTCTCTCATGAGCACACACACCCACACAGAAGTCCGTGTGTGTGAACATGCTAATTTATTTCTAGAATTGCAGGGACAGGCAGAAGAACAACTCTACAAAATGGCATGGAGACAGCTCAATGATGCCAACTTCATTGTGCTTCCAATCTTGTCACCGTATCTACTCCTTCTTTATCTCTTCAATCTGCTTTTATTTTTGTTTTAAGCATGCCTCACTTACCAAAAAAAAAAAAAAAAAACACAAGAAAAAATCAACCACAATCATAGACCTCGAGTCATTTGTGTTATGCTTGGAGAAGCATTGACCACAAATCCTTTCTGTGACAAACATTTTGAAGAGAGGAGGCTTCAAACAAGGGATCAGTAAAAGACAATTGCTATGAAATCTGGGCATCTATTTCCTTTTTTAAAAAATAACTATTTATTATTCCCATGAATTGGGATTGAAGGGCACAATTGTTTTTGCACTAAACTAAACATCCCAGTAGACCAAATTATTGAGAAAATTGCTCTGCTACTCCGTTTGTTTGAAATTTATGTGGTAGCTTTGGTGAGCTATTTTCTCCACCACGTGAAGTTGGAGAAAGCTTATCTTCCTCATGGCCGAGGTTCCCAATCTCTTTAGGAGTCCTTCAGTAGCACTCACTGGGGAGATGTGAGCAGTGAGAGCTCGCTGCGGATACGTGCACAGTTCTCTAAGCAGTCCTTACTACCTCCATTTGGATTTTATGTCTTCGATTGCAGGAAGCCTTTGCCCTCCTAAATGAGCCTGGGGCCCTTGGCTACAGTGGTTGGAGTGCTCTAATGCTAATGCTGTTTTGATAATGATTGAAGCATTAAAGAAAGTTGTTCTTTATCCTCAATCTTTGCATTGCCTCGTTTCCTAAATTTAATTTACTTAGATGTGCTTAGGAAAATGGGGCAGCACAATCGGTTTTTGTTTCTGCTTAATTAATTCTTTTTGAGGAACTCCACTGAAAGTACATTTTCCCTTTTCTTTTTCTCTTTCCTCTCCCTTCCTTTATAATAACGAGGATAAAGATAATGGTGAGGATTTAGTAAGTGCCTATTGTATGATGCTTACTTTTACACAATTATCTCATTTAATATTCCTAGCAACCCTATGGGGCCTGTACGGTAATCACTCATTTATATTGATAGGGAAACTCTATGGTACCACAATGTCTCCCAAGCTGTCTGTCCTATGACCTGGGTCTCCTGGCTCTTTGTTCACTGGAGGCAAAACAAAACTTAGAACTGATGGGACATAATGGTCCTCATGAAGGAAAAGGAGAGGGCAACCTGAAATCCCATCTTTACACTTCCTCATCTTCACGTTTAGAGCTCCGTTTCCGTTTGTGGAACTTCACTGTGGCTTTCAGTCTTATCCTACCAGGAAACATTTGGGCACATGTCCAGGGTTTTTCTCAACAATGAATGATTCAGGTCTTTCCCAAGGTGCCGGTGATGGAGGGAGAACAGACTCTTCAGAATGCATCGGCCCTTTGCTTTTACTGGAAGTTGACGCTCCCACAACTTGAACTCTTGTTCAGAGAGAAAACTGTGGTTAAGGGGCAAACATCTCTGCATAAAGGCACCATGGAGCTTCTCTTTATGAAATTAGCTCATCTGAGAGCTCCCAGGCTCCTTGCTTGGAGCTAATATTCTTATTCATGCAGTCTTTATAAGCTTGGTTTTCTGACTTTCTGGCTAGAACTAGATGAGCGTTGGAAGAGTGCTATGTGGAGGCGCATGTGCACAGTATGAGCAACAAGTAACAGTGGAGGCATAGGTGTGCCCTAAGTAACTTACCTGACGGCAGTTAGGGGCGTTCGTGGAGGGACATAGACCTACCTGCTTCAGTAGCCCCGACCGTATAGCAGGTCCTGTAGTTAGTGTTCATATTGATGATTGTGACTCAATATGGGAAGGTCAAATTTTGTTCATTCTTTTTTCTTTTTGGGTTTCTGAGACAGAGTTTCTCTGTGTAACAGCCCTGGCTGTCCTGGAACTCACTTTGTAGGCCAGGCTGACCTCAGACTCAGAGATACTCCTGCCTCTGCCTCCTGAGTGCTGGGATTAAAGGCATACACCACCACTGCCCAGTTCTCATTCTCCTTTTCTTAATATTTACATCTTAAAAGGCTTTAATTTTTTTTTTTTACTTAAGAATACTGGAAGAATGCTGAATTCAGAGCAGTCAGGTGGCTCAGTTGCTATGAGTGCTTGTCACCAGGCCTCATGGGACACAATTGGTAGAAGGCAGGAACCAATTTCTGGAAGTTCTCTGACCTACACACATGCATGTGCGCACACATAAATGCAGTAAAAAGATTTTTTTTAAAAGAAGGAATCCTGTTTCAGAAAATCCAGTCTAATATGAGATCTGCATTAATAGTTTCATGGCTGAGGGGAGATTATTTGGACTGGATTATCCTTCATTGCCATGTTTTTAAAATGGCGCTAAAACTTCTAGTCACAGACATAATGTGTGTGAAAATGTCTTACAGGCAATAAATCACTATATACATACCTTGTGGAGAGAGCTCCTTTCTGTTGACTCTTCTAGCCCAGGTAGTGCCCAAGAAAGATGAAGGATGTTGACCTATGTGACACTGGACCTCATCATGTGCTTGAGCAACTTCTGTCACTTACGATGGTAGAGATGCAGCTGGCTCCAGTGTGGCGGACCCTTTAAAAAGGGCATGTGCCTTAGGAGCTCTTGCATGTATGAAGCTC